ACTAAAAATTCCAAGTTATAATATCATGTAGCTAGTTGTGCATGCCCCTTTAATGGTGTAATCAACTGGCGTGAAGTAGACTAACATTTATTCACTTAGCTAGATACAGTAACATTGAGAGAAATAATGTGGTACTACGCTGTAAATTGCACTGAAAAAAGTGTTTTTATATCAAATGCAGGTCCTCATTCAAGACTGGTGTCGATCACTTTGCTATTAGATAGTTCCAGTTTATTGGAAAGAAGTTTCACTGAAACAAGGCTTCATCCGTTGTGGCATTCATCAGTAAACCATACCTACATCCATTAGGAAACTGTTATTCCCTTGGTAATTTGAGCCAAGAAGAGCCCCCCATATAAGAGTGAATTATGCACATGAATTGATTCCAGGTATGCCTTTCTGACAAGTACCAACATGTACTAAACTTAGGTCAAGCAGACCATCCTACCGAGTAACTCCCCACATTAAATACTACACAAGATACACTACAGTGCCGTTTCATTTAGCTCCAAGGCCAAATTGCTGAACACTACGAACTAGACATCTGTATCGGTCAGAAACCTATTCTTATGTATCATCCAGTAATACAGGGAATGCTTACTGGTCCAAACAGAGATGGTTTCACCACCGAAAATGTAGAGTTGCAATTCACGAACTTACTGTGACATCCGAGAAAACGCTTTCTACAGTCATACAGATAAACGGAATACGAAAAACATGAAGTAACGTATCATGAATTGATGTGGTAGATGGACGAAACTCTTGGTAACTTGAATGAAATTACTATTTAGTCAATACCTCGTTCATGTAGCTCAGTTAGTAGATTACGGGGACACGGGTTCGAACTGTCCCACTACCCAGATTTTCATTCCACCCTCAGTCATCACCCAATATCAATAATGCAGACACGAGTATTTATACAGAACTTACTGTAACTTACTATTTATCGGGGAAGTAAGTGTGATTACCCAGGGGGCCATTGGCTAAATGGGCGATATATATATATATATATATATATATATATATATATATATACACGCATTTTGACGAAGTCAGAATTACGACTTATCACGACTTTGGACTTGACATCCCCTCAATATTCTTTTGCCTTACATACCTGTGAACTCCTATGAACCTATTCATGGATATGGTCAAAATCAGGATGGGCGAACTCATATATTCCTTTAGCAGGGGCTGTGTACACTTATAAAATATCAACAAGCTAACAAACTGCAGTTATATCTAGGGTTAGCGGACTGGAAATCAGATGCCCATACGATTATCCTTTCTCGTGCCTGATTTGTACTTCAGATTGCAGAGTTGTCAAGTGATCCTCTCTGATACACCATCACATTAGTGTTTAAAGCAGTCTACAACCTCCAAATCCACACAATATTTAGTAATTTCAACAAAAGAGGGTCTATACTGGACTGGTACTGACAATCTATGGGGATCCTCGATTGCCTAGTCAGTTACTTTTGTGACCACATTGCACAATGGTCCTGTCAATTCCCTAGGCAACTTAAACGTTCGAAAAGTTAGTTACTTGGTGAATACGTAAATGGTAACATCTAACAGGTTTACGAGATGGACAATCTTCTAGGGGCTGTGGATGGCATTTCGCAAATGCAAATTATTGCTACAGGACTGGTCTGCACTGATTCCGTCTGGAGCAATGGGAAGTCAGATCATTGACAACATCTCCGTACGATACGAAGTGCTTGGTCAAATTTTTACGATGTACGCCATCTACAGCTCCATCGTGACATATGGTTTTCGATTCGTAATTGAATGCACTACCGTGTGATTCAGTTTGTTATGCATTATGGATGTGAAGCACGACCATTAAAGGTGGGAGGCCTGGTGTTCGGCCACTATTGTGATCGTGGCATGCTCCAAAGTTTGTTGTAGTGTCACCACATCAGTGACATAGAAACTAAATGGTTAGACTAAAAGACGGTATCAGTCCCTGAATTCTCTGACTATTGATCTAGGCTGCGTAGGAAGATGTAGACTTCCTGGTTGAGGTCGTCATGACAACCAAAATGGACGGGTGGTGGTAGACTGTGGGCGATATGACTGAGGATCGATTTCAGACTTATCGACACATTACTCTTGTCTTAATAGATTGGTTTCTACCACTTTGTATGCATATGCTTTTTAATCACTGAATGGTAACTAATTTCATTTGATAACACTTATCATTTACCGTTGCTATACTGGATGGAACTTCTCAACCTCTATTTAGATATGAGCTCGTATGCAGATGCCTGGGTATTGCCTGAAGACTCATTTTTTGTAGTTTGCTTGGAACCTATCAGTGTAGCTGCATGTACATCCATCCCAGTGAGTGATAGTATCCCCATAGAGACTCAAATCCTGAACCCATCTCTTCAAATGGCAGGATGTTATCCACTACGTTATTGAGGCACAAGAGTCACCTTTTGTGAAGCAGGTATCATCTGTTGTCTATTGATAAGGGCAATTTCACCCACTTGAATGAAAGTTCATCCGGCTGACGAATCAAAAATAAGCCGGAATATGCATCTCGGATTCCACGGTTAAACATCAGGTACACCACAATCAATTTCACACCATCTAGTGCTATGTGCACACGAAATTCGTAATACGGTCATCATGATAACAGACTCCTATAGGTCGATGGTAGCAAAACATGTACCAATTTTGATCACTATTTTTTCTTTAGTTTAATACTGACAGAGTGACAGTCACCTCCTTGGCTGTGGCCATCAACTATACAGTTTTGAGTTACTGGAGAATAGAGTGAAGTAAAGCAAAATAGGCTGCAGGTAAGAGAGACCTGACAACATCGTACCAAATAACCACGTTACTATCTGGGAAGACATCAACGCACACGAAACCAATAAAAGATGATGAAGGAAATATAATTACCAAAAAAGAGAAACAAAGGAAACAATGAGCTGACCACTTCAAAGAGCTCTCGAATCGACCACCACCAACACCACCACCACCTGCACTTCGTCCACAAATACCACCTGCAGCCCAGCCATACAACTACAAGTAAACACAAGACCTCGGACGACAGTAGAAGTCCTGAACGCCATAAAGCAACTGAAATGTAGGGAAGCAGCAGGACTAGGTGGAATCCCACCAGAACCACTGAGAACAGACACAGAGACAACAGTGAACATGCTCACACCACACCACTATTGCAGAAGGTGTGGAAAGGAAGGGAAGGTACCTGTCTATCGATTGGAAGAAGGGTTACCTTGTCAAACTGCCGAAGAAGGGAGACCACATGTTTGCAAGAAGTGGTGCGGAATCACTCTCCTGTCTACCCAAAGCAAAATCCTAATCTGCATCATCCTGGGGAGACTGAAGGATGCACTCGATTCAAAACTACCTCCGGAACAGGCTGCCTCGCTGGATTCAGGAAGTAAAATCATGTGCCGACCAAATTGCTACGCTTCGCATCATCATAGAACAGAGCATAGAATGGCAGTCAACACAATTCTACCTCAACTTCATCGACTTTGAGAAGGCCTTTGACAGCGTCCACTGACAGGTAGATTGGAAGCTGCCTCAATACTACGGAATACAACAAACCCCCATCAACCTCATTCAACAACTATACGAAGACACCACATACCAAGTAATTCACAATGGGAAGCTCAGTGATGCTTTTGAAGTGAAGTGAAGTGAAGTGAAGATAGGAATAAAACAAGACTGCCATCTACTATCACCCATGATATTCGTGATTGTGGTCGACTGGACTGGATGATGCAGCAGACAACAGTGGGGAGCGAGAAGAGGGGGATATGCTGGCTGGACCGCGGAAGAGAACCTAGAAGACTTGGATTTCGCCTATGATGACTTGTGTCTGATGTCACACAAAGTTGGAGATCTACAGGCGAAAATTAACAAGTTGACAGAAGAGGTGAGGTAGGGCATCGAAGACGGGACTTCCTTCAAGTGAACGTAGAGAAGACAGAGGTGATGAAGATACCCAGCCAACAACAACAGCAACTGTTTCAACTACAGGCGGTGGCGGGACAGACGAGGACGTCAAAGCCAGCTACGATCGGAAAGACAGCAAGACAGGTCTGCGTTGATTAGCCTGAAACCAGTGTGGTGATCTTCTGCACTGCACTCAGCATGTGCAACAACATCCGGATTTTCAACACCAATTCAGTCAAGTAAGTCAGTGCCTCCATGTGGTGGCTCACAGACTTGGCGCGTCACGAAAACCACTTCCAACAAACTACAGACATTGATCAACAACTGCCTACGCTGGCTCGTTACTGACACTGAAGATCAGATGGCCAGAATAGTGAGAATAAGCAACAAGGAACTGTGTCTGGTAACGAACCAATGAAGTGAGAACCTATCACACAACAAATATGCACTGGAAGGAAGTGGAGATGGATTGAATTGGGTATACACTGAGAAGGTCGAATGGGGACATCACGCGTCAGGCTGTTGAGTGGAACCCCGATGGGAAACAACGAGTTGGGCGTCAGTGTTGAGGGTGACATGGAGGAGATCGTGTGAGGAGGAAATGAGAGTTTATGGGCACTGGTGGAGCCAGGTTAAGAAGACTGCAGATAAGAGAGTGTGATGGAGACGTGCTAGTGAAGCTCTATGTTCTATTAGGAACCTAAGGGACTAATAATAAATAAATAAATGATGGAGTGAATCATTTAAATGTTGGGTCGCCTAACTGGTGAACGTTGATGAGCATGATCACCGTCCAATGACCTATCTATGACTGTTCTCACAATAAATTCACTAGCAGTAATCCACATTGCAAATATAATCCATAGGATTCGGATTCCACTCAGAATTAGTGGTAACGTCACTGACTACAGTACTGAAAGATTCGGGTTCGAAACCCAGGCGCGATAACAGTTCCATTAAGGTTTCAAATACGCGTTGCTGAGGTGTGTCAACATGCACCAAAGGTAGGTCTAGATATTCTTGCCAAATGTCTGTAACCCACTTACATTTAGCAATACACTTCACAATTGTTTCCATGTTCCTATATTAAGGATGGAGACAAGATATTGCCAACATCGGCTGTTTGTAGTAGTAGTAGTAGTAGTAGTAGTAGTAGTAGTAGTAGTAGTAGTAGTAGTAGTAGTAGTAGTAGTAGTAGTAGTAGTAGTAGTAGTAGTAGTAGTAGTAGTAGTATCCACTTTTCTGTGTCCACTCGAATGATCCACCAAACAAAAACTTGAAATGACCTGAAATCTACTTTTCATGTTCAATTCATCACTCTTTCATAAACACATGCAATGTTATATAATATCTGTCATATAATTATTATACAAAATACAAAAGGAAAAAGAGCTAGGGGAAAGAAACCACTCAATCATATTGACATGCAGTGGCTTGTTTGAGTGTCACACAATGTAGCGTGTGATTTATTAGGCTTTTGAAGATTTTAGGAAACTTAATAATCCTCCAACCTATTCCTTTCACCTGTCTACAGCATATACACACATACACACATCATTCTATTGTGTGTATAAGTTTCATTTTTCTTGTAAAGTTTTTGTGTAACAGTTGTTGTATACTTAGTCTATCTCTATTCCCCTGGTATTGTGTATTTATATTGTGTGTGTGTGTGTTCACATCTCTTACGTTTGTCTGTCACAATCCCTTCCAAATCTGATACCATCTATCTATACTTTATAAATTATAAAAAAATAGGCCTATTGTTATTAAACGATTATGCAATCAGTGTGTCTAACCCTATCTAGTGTCATTTTGTTTATGCCTTAGGGGATTTTCCACTTAGTATTTACATTATTCTACACTTTGAAAGAATATGATCAATACTGTTATGTGTGTGCATGTGTGTGTGTGTATCATTGTCAGTATGTGTGTGTGTCTATCTATCGATCTGTCTGTCTATCGATCTGTCTGTCCATCTATCTACCTATTTATTGATCACGCAAATTCAAAAAAGGAATAGAAAGTCTATACTTGAACATCTGTTCATAGATTAATTAATGTAAAGAGAAGAGAGAAAGAATAAGGAACGCAACACTTTTAAGATGAGCTCAATTCAAATTTATTTATTTATTTATTCATTGGTTGATTAAAATTTTATTCTTCATTATGTTATTCATTGTTATGAAATATGATCACAGGTGGATGGAAAATTACCAACCTTCACTTATAATGAAGAGAAAAATTATGAAATTATCCTGAAGGTCAGTCAGTCAATCAGCGAATAACTGAACATCACATAATGCACATGAAATAATTCGATATCTTCAATATACTAATGACGTGTATGTGTGTGTGTCGAAGGGGGAGGGGGTGCCGGTTGCATAACAGAATTTTTCTGCATGAACTATATTTTCTAAATGTCATTATATATGACAAAACTTTCAAAGGGTACTGACATGATTTTTGACTAAAAGAAGAGGATCAAGTTGGGAGGGGGGATTAAAACATTGTGAACTAAACGGTTTCAATTCCATTGATTAGTGACATGTGTCCTTGAACATTGAAACACGATGTGGGTGTGTGCGAGGGGCATCGGCGAGGCGTATTTTGTATATTTTTATATACTATTGAGATATATATGAAGACGCCACATATCAAATAATTCACAATCGGCAGCCCAGTGAAGATAGGAGTAAGGCAAGACTGCCACCTACTACCACCCATCATCTTCCTGATTGTGGTGGACAGGATCATGCAGCAAACAGTGAGGAACGAGAAGAGGGGGATACGCTATCTGGAGCGGGGAAAAGATCCTAGAATATTTGGATTTCGCCTATGACCATTGATATTTAATACCTTGTTACATAAACTCGAAGATCTACAGGCAAAAACTAACAAGTTGACAAAAGAGACAAGGCAGTGCAGCGAACACGGGACTTCAAGTGAACGTAGACAAGACAAAGATGATGATGATACCAAGCTAACACCACCACCACCAACAACAACAACAAGCTCCAATTATCATCAACGGGAGAAACTTAAAGGAAGTAGCCTCTTTTACCCACCACCTAGACAGCATCATTTCAACTACAGGGGGCATAAACACAGACGAGGACGTTAAAGTCTGGATCCGAAAGACAGTAAGACAGGCGTTCATAAATTGAAATACAGTGATTAAGTAGTCTTAAAATGTGAAAGATTATTCAACTGAGGAATACGAGTAGTTAGAAGCCATGTAGACGGTAGATTTCGCTAAATCAGATGAGATCATTAGCTCTTAACTACTCATGTTGTTTAGTAGTCTTGGGTGGCGAGATGAAAAGGTCATCAACACTGTTGTTCAATAGATGGTATTTGGAAGTAGTATTCATCATGGACTGACATCAGTTGGAGAACCATTGAAAGTCTGGATGTAGTGGACAGCTATTTCGCCCCAGTACGGGACTCCTCAGCAGTGCGCACCCACAACCCGGCTGGGGATCGAACTCAGGGCCTCCAGGTTCCTCGGCAAACGCGTTAACCATCTAGCCACAGGATCGATTCTCAATCTACGATACAGATGGTATTTGGTTGGAGTCAACTGCCAGGAAGCCTTACTCAGTCTAGACTTCATGTTTGTTGGCGCTTGTCAGAAAGACTTACAGACGGGAAAAAGTCTTATCCAAAGTCCAATGCCGCTTCACTTAGCATCGTAGTTATCGACGTTATCAATCGATCATTTTACAATACGGCCATCGAGCTATTCAATATTTACCTAGAATTTCTGGAATAGTGAAATCTGTTTTGTGTCATTTCTGGAGATATCAGTTATTAAAGATCCAGCTTATATCTAATGTATTGCATTGTGAGCATGCTGACCGCTGAAGATGTATAGGTGTTTCAAAGCTTACGGTCTACGGTTTATAAACACAACTAAACAACGGTTAATGATACCACCATTTAGTTACTGAAACCTTGGCAAGCGGGGTTGGACTTCAACCGTTAACCCATTGGTTGCAAGTTGAGTACCTAGATCTGTGATTAGTTTAACTGGAGAGAACAGACTGGTGCGACGACTTCCTGAACAGTCACATTCTGATATCATCTCTATTCTGATTATCATACAGTTTATTTGATAATGAGTAGTGTTGGAATCCATAGCCCATGTTTCTTCCTAGATATGACTCATCAGCCAGATGGTACAGCCCATGGAGTGATGGTGTCCTGAATCCACAGCCAATCTTTTGGGAAATAATGAGCAGTCAATCCATGCAGTCTGATAGGTAGAGTATCATATAACAAATTAAGTTCTCCTGCCTCATCAGTCATGATCCCTACGTACATTTAGATCAGCATGGTGACAAGCATTGTTTCAAAAAATCTTGAAGATTAAGGTCCAGTGGGAATAGGATATTACCTAAACATATGTGTTTATTACCTCTAATCAGCCAGTCAGTAAGTCAATCAGTCACTGAGTCTATCAATCAAACAATAAATTAAACAATCAGTCAGTCACTCAGTTAGTTAGTTAGTTAGTTAGTTAGTCAGTTAGTTAGTTAGTTAGTTAGTTGGTTAGTTAGTTAGTTAGTTAGTTAGTTGGTTAGTTAGTTAGTTAGTTAGTTAGTTAGTTAGTTAGTTAGTTAGTTAGTTAGTTAGTTAGTTAGTTAGTTAGTTAGTTAGTTAGTTAGTTAGTTAGTTAGTTAGTTAGTTAGTTAGTTGGTTAGTTAGTTAGTTAGTTAGTTAGTTAGTTAGTTAGTTAGTTGGTTAGTTAGTTAGTTAGTTAGTTAGTTAGTTAGTTAGTTAGTTGGTTAGTTAGTTAGTTAGTTAGTTAGTTAGTTAGTTAGTTAGTTAGTTAGTTAGTTAGTTAGTTAGTTAGTTAGTTAGTTAGTTGGTTAGTTAGTTAGTTAGTTAGTTAGTTAGTTAGTTAGTTAGTTAGTTAGTTAGTTGGTTAGTTAGTTAGTTAGTTAGTTAGTTAGTTAGTTAGTTAGTTAGTTAGTTAGTTAGTTAGTTAGTTAGTTAGTTAGTTAGTTAGTTAGTTAGTTAGTTAGTTAGTTAGTTAGTTAGTTAGTTAGTTAGTTAGTTAGTTAGTTAGTTAGTTAGTTAGTTAGTTAGTTAGTTAGTTAGTTAGTTAGTTAGTTAGTTAGTTAGTTAGTTAGTTAGTTAGTTAGTTAGTTAGTTAGTTAGTTAGTTAGTTAGTTAGTTAGTTAGTTAGTTAGTTAGTTAGTTAGTTAGTTAGTTAGTTAGTTAGTTAGTTAGTTAGTTAGTTAGTTAGTTAGTTAGTTAGTTAGTTAGTTAGTTAGTTAGTTAGTTAGTTAGTTAGTTAGTTAGTTAGTTAGTTAGTTAGTTAGTTAGTTAGTTAGTTAGTTAGTTAGTTAGTTAGTTAGTTAGTTAGTTAGTTAGTTAGTTAGTTAGTTAGTTAGTTAGTTAGTTAGTTAGTTAGTTAGTTAGTTAGTTAGTTAGTTAGTTAGTTAGTTAGTTAGTTAGTTAGTTAGTTAGTTAGTTAGTTAGTTAGTTAGTTAGTTAGTTAGTTAGTTAGTTAGTTAGTTAGTTAGTTAGTTAGTTAGTTAGTTAGTTAGTTAGTTAGTTAGTTAGTTAGTTAGTTAGTTAGTTAGTTAGTTAGTTAGTTAGTTAGTTAGTTAGTTAGTTAGTTAGTTAGTTAGTTAGTTAGTTAGTTAGTTAGTTAGTTAGTTAGTTAGTTAGTTAGTTAGTTAGTTAGTTAGTTAGTTAGTTAGTTAGTTAGTTAGTTAGTTAGTTAGTTAGTTAGTTAGTTAGTTAGTTAGTTAGTTAGTTAGTTAGTTAGTTAGTTAGTTAGTTAGTTAGTTAGTTAGTTAGTTAGTTAGTTAGTTAGTTAGTTAGTTAGTTAGTTAGTTAGTTAGTTAGTTAGTTAGTTAGTTAGTTAGTTAGTTAGTTAGTTAGTTAGTTAGTTAGTTAGTTAGTTAGTTAGTTAGTTAGTTAGTTAGTTAGTTAGTTAGTTAGTTAGTTAGTTAGTTAGTTAGTTAGTTAGTTAGTTAGTTAGTTAGTTAGTTAGTTAGTTAGTTAGTTAGTTAGTTAGTTAGTTAGTTAGTTAGTTAGTTAGTTAGTTAGTTAGTTAGTTAGTTAGTTAGTTAGTTAGTTAGTTAGTTAGTTAGTTAGTTAGTTAGTTAGTTAGTTAGTTAGTTAGTTAGTTAGTTAGTTAGTTAGTTAGTTAGTTAGTTAGTTAGTTAGTTAGTTAGTTAGTTAGTTAGTTAGTTAGTTAGTTAGTTAGTTAGTTAGTTAGTTAGTTAGTTAGTTAGTTGGTTATTGAGACTTCACAAACTACTCTGGAGTAATTACGCGGTCATTATTT